TTGTTTTAGTTTATTTCTTAGTTATTTTAGTTATTTTTATCTTAGTTTTAGGAATACAACTTATATTTTTTTTTAAACACATTTCTTAACCACTCATTCACGTTAAGTCAAGTAATATTCTTGCTTGATTTGACTGGCGATGACATATTTATTAAACAAATATTTAGAATCTAGTTAGGTTAAGCAACCATATTACAATGTGTAACTAATTGTATACTCTTTCTATAATAGTTTATAGAATCATATTGCCAAAAATTATTGATAAAAGTCAAAAAACCAAAGAGGTTATCTTAATATTTAAAAAAAAAGTTGAGATATCAAATAATAAATCTGTTAATCAATTTTATTAATATTTGAAATTAGATTAACTTTAGAATTCAAATTAATAAGTTTCATATAAAAAATAAAGATAAAACAATAAGTGTATTCTGAATTATATAGTAAAAATATTTTGTATTTTTCTGATATGAGTTTATTTTTAATTTACATTGTATAACAATTTTTTTTTCAAAATCTAATGATTATTTTGTTAATTAAAACTTGTGATATTGGTAAGTATATTAATTTGAAAATTTTTTAAATATGTATAATCAAAGGTTTAATTTTTAAATATTATAATAATTAAGATAATTTTGTTTTAATATTTGAAATATATAGATATTATTTTATCTTTATTTTTTTAAAAAAAAATTAAATAAAATTAAAATAACTAAATATAAAACATAACTTGTTCAAATTGAACTAAAGTCATATATTTAATAATTCTATGTTGTAAATATTTCCAATCTGTTTTTTAATAATCTTTTCTATTTGGTAACTTAAAAATATCTATATAATTATTAAAGCAAAGCATATTAATAATTTTTAATTGTTAAAGAAATTCATTCTACCTAATTTTACAATTGCATAATAATTTGTATTTTAACAATAGTTTTTAATTGTGAATTAGAAAAAAATAAACAAAAAATTGAATATAAGGTAATTTTCCTAATATTTAATTTGTTAGCTACATTTACTTAAGAAGTATAATATGGTTTATTATATTGAAATTTTTAAAATACATAACGGTGGTATAATAAATTAAATAAATTTGATTGAGATACTTTTTTTTCCTTTTGTATGACTATATTTATTGATTTTTTTGTTATTTTTAATGTTCACAACCTCTTTTTCAGTTTCATCATCATTGTAGTCATCAGTAAGATCTCTAACTTCATTTTCGATTTCATTCTCAATATTTCATATAAGCTCAAAAGTATATGCATCATTATCTTCAATATTATCGTCCATAATGTATATTTTGACGTCTGAAAAAAATAGGATTAAAGAGATATGTAAGGAAAATAAGTAAAAATAAAAATTACGATGATCGTGATCGACAAAGCTTATCTGTAATAGACGACGATCGAACATGGCTAACACTAAAAATAAATGGATTTCTAAATAAGTAAAAAACCAGGATTTTCCGGTTAGATAAGTAAAACCTTAATTTTTACTGTAATACAAGTACTACATGAATTAACAAATCAAATTTCAAAATTTTAGGGCAAATTTGCAGGAGAAACGGTTTAAGGGATAGAGGTCTGACTGTATATTGATGTTACTTAAAACACACAGCTTATACGTAAGAACTTTAAAAAATTATTTATTAAATGTACTATGCTGTATCGGTATGACTAACAGATAACCAAAAACAAATCGTGAAAGCCAAATAGTAGAAAGCTTCAAGTTACTTGATATTTTATATAAATATATGAAAAAAGTAACATTTATCACATTGCATCGAAATTTATCCACTTCGTTTTTGACTGCTCAACAATCGAAACGTTATTAAACCAAAAAAATTACAAGACATCAATGATGTTATATCCAATGTTACTACTATTAGTACCCAAATATTTTGGTCCAACTCTAATGTACAATGCATTATCTTTAACCAAAATGTCATTGTAATCTTTAACCTCATCATCGAATACAAAATAAATCTTTTTAGTTTTCACGATATCAACAAAATTATCTCTGACCATGTCATCTTTAATAATATTTGCAACTAAAGATTCAAAATATGCAAAAACGATTTCACCTAATTTATTTTTAAACCATTTACCATCATCATCCGAATTTTTCTTTGCAGTTTCAAAGACGTTATCAAAATCAACCACAAATTCTATTTCGTCATGAACAGCTTCTTTAAGTTTTTTCTTTAGCGTAGGAATCTTCATGTTCCACTGATCACGAATATTTACTTTGGTAATCACAGGAAGCGCTGAATCTGGCGCTTGAAGTCTTTCAACTATATCATAACCAGGCGATGCATTAGTGCCAAACCTAGCGGGATGGACCATAATGTACAAACCACCATCAATTATTTTAACATCATGATAATCTTCAACATCATCATCCATCACGAGATGGAAAGTTTTTGTATTAGTCAAATCTAAGAATTCTTGACGAATCAAATCATCCTTCTTTGTATAATCTTCAATATATTTAGTCAATGAACTGAAATATTGAAGGACGATATTCCCCAAGCTTTTAGAAAACCAATCGGTGTTATCTTCATTTGCTTTAGTGACTTTCATATAAACTTCATCAAAATCTATTTTAAATTGATAATCTTCGCCCAAACATTTATTGAGCTGTTTTTTGAGGCTAGGAATTTCCTTTTCCCATCCATCTCGAATACTTTTTTTTGTTCTTAACGGAAGAACATCATTCGGATTCTTAATCACATCGATAATAGAATAGCCAATAGATGAATTTGTTCCTAATGATTCAGGCTTGACTTTGATATAAAGTTCTCCATCTTTAACTTCGATAGCATTATAATCATTTATATCCTCATCGTAAACGAAATAAAACTTTTTTGTATAAATAACATTAACCAATTCCGATCTAACCAGATCATCCTTTTTAGCGTAATCATTTATATATTTGATTAGAGATTCAAAATACGCGTAAACAATTTCACCTAATTTAGAGGACAACCAATTAGAGTTATCTTCATTAGCTGAAATTGCTTTTAAATAAATGTTTTCCCAATCGATCACAAATTCATAATCCTCTCCCAAAGCCTGTTTGAGTGACTTTTTTAAAAAAGTTGTTTGTTGCTCCCAACCATCGCGAATATTAGTTTTTGTAATTAAAGGTAGTACTTCATCTGAAGATTTTAATAATTCTAAAATATTATAACCAACACCTCCAGTGTTGGTACCATAATAACAAGGTTGTGTTTTAATATAAATATTACCATCGGCAATCGAGGTTTCATTATAATTATCTTGAATATCTGAATCAGTAAGAAGATGGATTTCCCTATTATTGGTTATTTTAACGAAATCGGAACGAACCAAGTCATCATTATTAGCAACACTGCTAATGTTGGAAATTAAAGAATCGAAATATTGAAAAGCAATATTGCCTAAACTCTTTGTTATCCATTCATTATTTTCAGGAACAGCTTTAACTGCATCGGCATGAATTTTACTAAAATCCACTACAAATTCATAATCGAATCCTGTAATAGAATTCAAACTTTTCTTAAGTTCTGGAATTTTATTCGTAAAGTCATCTCGAACGCTTTTTCTTGATGCAAGCGAGAGACCGTCTGTAATAATTACCATATTGTCAATAAGGATATAAGATTAAAGAGAAAAAAAAAGCCAAGAAAATATGAAATAATGGTACTGTAGCTCTCATTTTTATAATAAAAATTTACAAAATTTACTGCACTTAATTTACACTATTTACACTTAATTTGACACAAAAACAAATCTAATCGTATGTTACACGAATCGTGAGACAAGAAAATCTCGTATATGCGTAAAATAAGCGATCGTTTATGATACTTTGAAGATCGCAAAAAAAAAAATTCATTACAATCATGAGTTTCTTTAACACAAATGTACCGAGTGGTTCCTGGGGAAATATGCTGAAACAAGCGATGAATACTGTTGAAAGTAAATTTGATAAAGCTCTCGACATAGGAGAAAGTATGTGTTTAGTTTATAGCCCCAGTCAATCGCACCTGTGATCTCTTATATTTGTTTTATTTGCTGATTGTTAATCACGAATAGGTAGCATATACCAAGGAGAAGTATATGTAGATCCCGTTACTGGTTTTGTGACGACGCTTGATCCACCAATTTTAAATTCACAGAGCGTAACGAATTCGACGCAAAACCAAGGATCGCAAAAATCAGTGTCGACATTTGGTAACTTACAAGATTCAGAATCGAAAGAATTAAGGACAATGCTTGATAATATAATAGAACAATCAAAATCTTCGAAAAATGAATTAGAAACTGAGAGTTTAACATCTGTTCACACTAACAGTGTTATTTCAAACAGTTCGGATGCACAATCTCGAGAGTTAGATGGTATCGACAGTTCTAGAACATCTCATGATTCAAGAGCATCAGCAGTTGAGTCTCAATTGACAACTGATAATTTTCAGCATATAATTGAGCAACGAGAGCGTCAATTACTTAACGCAGCCGAACAAAATGCGTTATTGAATAATACGATAGAACAACTAAAAGTACAAATACAAGAACTAGAAGAAGCTAAGAACGTTCAATTAAAAATAATTAAAGATCCTGCTGAAGAACCAACAGAAACTGATTTACGAAATGAAGCAAGCATATTTTTTAATTTAATATATAAATTGTGTGATTGATTGGCAAGATTATAATTTCTCTTTCGTTCAGATTCGTGAATTAAGAGCCACTTTAGTACGGGTTGAAGAACAGGCTGGTCTTCGTGAAGATAATTTACGGAATGAAATTCTGGTATGTTATCTGCGTGATAAATATAACCTTTTTTTATATAAAAATGAATTAACTTTTATAATTCGCTTAAAGGTATTACAACAACGATTACAAATAGCAGAAAACTATGCACGAGACTCGACGTCAGAAGAATGGGAAATAGATCGAATTCAATTACTTAAGCAGATAGAAGATGTAAAGACACAATACGCATTATCGGTTAAAAATTGGGAAAAAATTGAGCATAAGTTTGTAAAATAAATAATATTTTAATTTGATTTATATGTTCTATGATTTATAAATACTTAATATTGAATACATTTCACAGTCTTACAATACGGTTGACTGAAATGGAAGCTGAACGTGACCGATATCTTGAAGAATGTAAAAAATTGAATTCTCAATTAAGAGAATTGGTAGGGAAAAACTGGTTTCATGGAAATTGGCTACTTTAAGCAAATTAATGCTAATCCCTCACATTATCTCAATTATCTCAGAAGTCACATTCTGAGCAAAAAGAACTTGAACTTATCGCAGCTCAACAAAAAAATTCACAATTAAGTGAGGAAATAGAATCACTTAATGCTAAAATTCCAATCTTACAAAGTGAGATTGAAACCCTTACGTCAAATCTTGAATCATCCGAAGAATGTCATCAAAAAAATCTAAAGGAAGTAGAAGAACAATATCGTTGCATACTACGACAAACACTTGAAGAAAAACAAGATGAATGGGAAGAGAGACTACGATCAGAGCAAGAAGTCAAATCAAAGGAACGTGAACAGGAAAGGCTATCAGTGAAAGTGGATTCTTTTAGAGGTAGCCCTATAAGATCAGCAAGTGAAACGCAGCTGAGTTCGTTACGTTCCGTAAGTGAAATACATTTGGAGAAACATGCCGAGGGAGGAGTACCATCACCAATGTTAAAAAGTCCAACTTCGAGTCTCAGATCTAGTAGGTCTAGCATTGATGGTGGATCTAGCATAATAAGTAATGTTATAATGACCGAGAGATTGAATTCCTCTATAAGGTACTTGAAAGGACAAGTTAGTACGTTACAGGCTCAACTTTACCATACAACAAAGAATAGAGGTGAGTTAATCTTATCATGGTTTTCTTGCTAGCATAATAATGGATATTGAACTAAACTTTGATCTGGCAAATTAGACGAATTAGCAGATGAACTAGTAAAACTAACCACGCAGGTTGAAGATCTGTATGTATAATTCCTGATAAGTTAAATTTTTTTTTTTTGTTTATTGAGTATTGTCTTGATCTAGCTTTATATTTATGCATAGTTCTTTGAAATCTGGAAAAGCAACTGAGTTGGAAAACCAATTTTATGAATTAAATGAAAGGTATGCAGAATATGCTTGAGGTTTTTATTTTTAGTCCACTAAAAAGAATGATCTTTTTGTAGATATAACACTGCACTAGAATTATTGGGCGAAAAGACGGAACAGGTGGATGAATTACAAGCAGACATTGAAGATATGAGAGATGCATATCGTAGTCAGATAACAGACCTAACTGCTCAACTAGAGAAATATAAAAATTCATAATAATAATTCCTATTTAATTCTCAGCTTCATTTTCCATTTTTAAATTATTGGTGATTCTACACCCTTATTCTTGAACTATATTTGTCTTATTTTAGAAAGGCTTCATTTGTGAATTAGTAAATAATCACCGTCAAGCTTTAATATCTTTGAACTTAATTATAATAAAATTTAATGCATCTACGATCAACTTTATACTCATTTACTCAAAAATCACAACGGAACATTTCTGGGAACCTTATTGAACTTATTAATATATACTACGCTTATGCAATCCAATATTAGCGAAATTTTATTATTAAGGAAATAGAAACATAGATTTAAAAAATTGTAGATTATCCAAACATCATTTTAATGGTTCTGATGGAGTAACTTCCCTTTTTTCCAAAACTCTATCAATCAAACCAAACTCTAGAGCTTCCTCAGCAGTCATGTAATAATCTCTTTCAACAGCCATTGCTAATTAAACAAATTAAATCATTTAATAATAATAAGAATAATAATAGCAACAAAATTCATAATGAAATATTACCAATTTCGTCTAGTGTATGTTTATTACAATGTTTTTGATAAATTTTATTTAATCTCTCTCTAACTCTTAATATCTCTTTAGCATGTATAGCAATATCAGTTGCTTGACCTGATGCACCGCCTATTGGTTGATGTATCATTATAGTAGAATTTGGAAGTGTATAACGTTTTCCTGGTTCGCCTAAAATAACAATAATCTTTTTGTAAGTAAATAAAATATTCAAATAAAATGCAATAGCCGATAACATTACCTGCGGCCAAAAGTAATGAGCCCATTGAACATGCTTGACCATTGCAAAGTGTTGATACTGGTGATTGAATGTACTATTTAATGAAACATATTATATAATTCGTTATAATTTTAAGAAATAATTTTGGAAGTATATTAAAATTAATTATACCTGCATCTATTCATTTTTGATAAAGTTATATAAGTACAAATCACATCGATATATGTATATATAAATATATGCGTATTTAAAAAAAGACTTACAGTATCATAAATAGCCATGCCGGCAGTTACAGTACCACCAGGACTATTAATGTATAAGCTAATCGGTTTTTCTGGATTTTCAGCTTCAAGAAATAATAATTGAGCTACAACTACAGCCGCTACACTATCGTCTACCTTTAATATCAAGAATATGGGCTTTAACTCAAACAATAAATAAAATATAAGAAAAAAAATATATATTTATGATATTTTATTTACATGTCCATTCAAGCATACGATCCTTTCTTTTAAAAGTCTAGAAAATATGTCATATGAACGTTCACCCCTTGACTATTTAAATATTTGATTAAAAAAATGTTATCAAAATGTTGCAGTATTAGGAAAAAACCCCAAATAATTTACCGTTTTTTCAACCACAAAGGGTATTAAAGCTTGAGCTTTAACAGGTGGCGAATGTCGAGTTAAAAAGCCTCTAGCAAAGTTCCGTATGTCAAGGAACTTTTGACCAAATCTAAAAGTCATAGGAGGAATCCATGTGATTGGCTGATTTAACTTATCTTATATATATATCATAGGGCGTTGATTGGCGGATGTAAATCGATCGCTCGGGTAATTATTCGGGTAATTTATTTGAACGTAACCGTAACGTTTCATTTTAAATTTAGTCAAGCAAACAAATAAACCGACAATATGCAGACCAAATAAGATTCATTACAAACTCAAGAAACTCTTAAAGAAATATTTAGTTATATTTAGTGTGTCGCTTACACTAAACTTGGTCATTTTAAATACGTTTAGAGTTAACATCAGTTCGACCAATCATTGGGTATGACAAATAAGTATTTACTATATAAACTATATAGTAAATACTTATTTGTCATACTCCATGATTGGTCACACCCCAAGTACTAAATCAAAAGGGTCACCTTGATCCGAGAAATAATTAAGAGGTAGTTCTCAGTTAAAGGGTATAATCATTACTAATTATCATAGTCGGAACTTATTATAAATTTTTTATAGTAGTGGAATGCCGATTCATTACAATGAAAAGTTTTTTTTTTACTAAGTAAATATCATTTGAATAATTAAAGTTGTAGAACGTGTTATTACGATTCTAATGATGATGGTTGTGTAAATCACAAGATATTAAGATGTTTTTCTTTTTTACTACATGCTTTTTCCTCATTGTCATATATGAAAGTTATAGTAAAATGCTCCCTTTAACACTTATTGGGAATTAATAAATATATAACATACATTACAGATAATATGCTATCAACTACAAATTTTTGTTTGTTGACATTCGGAAATTAAGAATCTTTATATTATTTTGACAGTCCTAAAATTCTTGAGGAAACTTTGCACATTTAGAGATAATTTAAGATGATAATGGTGGAGGTAGCATGAGTTTTAAAGGTTCACAAAATTATATCTTGCTAAGCCTGTTAGGGACATTACAAGAGGAGAACGGTCATCGAGTATATGGCTTGCAATTGGGTCTGTTCACTAGATCAGTATTAGAATTTTTTATAAATATTTAAACTCTACTTACCGTTACGGTGAGTTTTTCTTAAAATTTACCAAATAGTAACGTAACCCTAATGTCCAGAACATTAGTAGTGCTACGAAGTGCTATATAGTGTTATTAAGCACCCGTAAAATCCATAGCTTTAAATAAAGATGTTCTAATAGAAAGATAGCAAAAGAGCATAATGATTTGAAATGTATAAATAACCTAAAAAATCGCACTTGTAAAAAAGACAGTTAACAACTCAACAACTCAATAATAAAGAAGTAGTCGTGTCTTCATACACGAACAAGTTGAATACTTTATTGAATAATCGATAGATAACAGTTCCATAGAGAGTAATCGTGTCTTCATACATGGATAACTCGAATAAACCATAGATTAGTTATAGTGTATCCCGAATAACTTTGAGTATAGTAATAAACTTGTTAACTTGTTATACTTATACTTAAGCATAAATCGGTGGTTGTTGTCAATCAAATAGTATAAAGTAAAACAGTTATACCGAACTTATAAGAGGTTGTTATATACATCATCAACCTATTACGAATAGTATACAGTATATTAAGTTTTTTCAAGTTTAAATCTTATACATACTATCTTTTTTGTTGACCGTTTCCAACACTTAGAACTTATATATAACTATTTAATGATTTACTATCATGAAATTTTTGGGGCTGTGATTTAATTTGGATTATTTTTGATCTGTTTGTTAGTGAAAAGTTACGTTTTTAGAAAGTATGTACATATCGATATCTGATACGTATTTTAAAATAAGTCGAGGTTGGAACCGGTTTTAATAATTCGAGTTTATCACGTCAATTTTATCACATTTATCCAATTAAATTTGGGAAATTCTATTTTGATTCGAGTTAAACCGGATATCGATATTTTAATTACGAAGTCTATAATAGTTTGTGTCAAAATTTCTCATTAAATTTAGAATTGATGTAATTATTAAAACCGGTTCCTCTGGGCTGATCAATGAATATCGTTCTAAGATACAGTGATAAGGTTTCAATTTTTCTTGTTATCCTACAATGTTAGAAAACGAACTTAAGATTCTTGGAGAAATAAATTTGCCAACAAATATCGATTTTTGATGATTTGGCCTAAATTATAAATTTCATATTGGCTAAAAAATCATCAAATTTATCCAAATATTTGCGAATTTCACCAGCTAGTAAAATTCGCTATGTAGAGTGAAATCTGCTATGTAGATCACATGAGGGTTGGAACCCGCTTTTGTATAATAAAAAACATAGACTTCACGAATTTTACTAGCTGATGACTCATGTTTCACCCTGTTTTAGAATTTTTTCGTGTCTTCAATAATGAACTTTGAAAATCCATATATATTTTTTATGTGAAACCACATAAATGATAATAATGTTATGTAATTGTCTGATATAAAAATTATGTAATTATAAATTGCTTAACAATATATATGTGTAGTATTACCGAAGGTCCGTAGAACGCATAAAATATTCGTGAAAAATTATGTAAAGTCATAAATTCATGTAGTTTTTTACCTAGTAGTTTCGCAGAAAAAAGTTCGTGGTTTATAAATAAATTTCCAGTGTCGGTCATGATGTAAATCATCTTTTGCCTTTATCTGATAGTTCATTCCATATTGATTTGTTTCTTCACAGATTTCACAGATACTTTCACATTGGGTTGGAAATAAGGATGTAAAATCTAATGTTAAACGTTCAGCTTAATTTTAATCTTTTAGTTACACTTACGCAACTTGTGGTTGACGGTACGAAGTGAAATACTAACTATTCATGAGAACGAAAGAGTGTAGCTATTGTTTACGTTTACATAATATAACAATGATTTATTTCCCTTAGACTATATGTATTTCTTTATTCAAGACGAAATTTTTTACTCGAATAAATCTTGAACAATTATTCATTAATATCACATAAACAAAATTACAAATTTATTATCTCTAAATATACAGCCTACCCTCATTATAACGGATGTTTTACATAGCGGACCTCTCACTATAGCAGAGAAATCTTCTAACGGCTAAAATTTTTTAACAATTTAAAACTTTTATTATTATAATAATACTTATAACATTATAGCGAATATTTCATTATATAATGTATAACGATAAAATTTTCCAGTCCGATCACTACGTTATAATGAAGGCAGACTGTATCTCATCAATCGCCACTATAAACCAATAATTTCCCGACTTTTTAGTAATAGATAGGCATCATCTATAAATCAAACCTATTTCTGACATTTCGCATTATTATTAGAAAAAAATATAAAAAATTGAATAAATATATTTGTCATTAATTATACAACAGACAATCATTAACGGTGTAAATCGAAATTTTATCTAACCAATAGGTAAATCATCATAGTGATTAATAAGAAAATTCATGCAATATATAATCAAGTTTCATGAACATTCATGGAATTATTTTTTAGAATAAAAAAATTTCCTTCATTTATTTCAATGTTCTTCCAATTATAACGCGTTTATTATTGTTCATAAAAAAAATAATTCAGAATAAATTTACGACAAAATGAGGATTTCACAGCTCTTGTTAAATATTTTATTTGGATATTTGTTAGTTTGTATCTCATCACTATTTGCATCTGACAATAGTTGGTTCAACTTACCAAGTTTTTTAAAATTTAATGAAATTGGAGCTGGAAATATTAAATTGGATGAGAAATTCCACGAATTAGAAGATAATGATTTATCAGGTAATTTACATACCTTTGAATAAGACATGTTTAAGCTATTAAACGTCTATATTCTTTACGTCATTTTATTTAATAAAGCTTGGGCAGAAAATTTCTTGAAATTATCAAATGAAGAAAAAATGATTGTTGAGCGTGGGCATGGTATAATTTTATATACAATTCTGATTTTTCGTGTTCTTAATATTAAATGAGCTGTTTTTTTTTATATAAAAAAAAAAAAAGCTTCATTAATTCAATTTGAAAGAAAGCAAAATTGTTTTAAGGATGCTGCCTTAACATTAAGACATGGTTGCAGAAATATTGATATTTCTGATAATGATAAAATAAAATGTAAGTAGCTTCCTTTCCTAGATCATAAGAGATTCTTATTAAAATTCTCGATTTTGTAAATTAGACGCAGTACGATTGACAATGTGCGAAATTGCAACAGCAAATCTCGTTGCCCCAATGGAATGTAATGATATTCAAGACGTTGGAACTTGTGTAGAGTATGTTTCGCGAATATATTTCAGGTGTAAATATTTGTAAAAATATATGTACAGCATAATGAATATAATTTACAGAGCTTTGGCACGAATTCCTCAACTATGGACGTCATATTCGGGTTATTTTCGAGAAGTTTGTATGTATAACGACAAACAAATCTTTCAAAATATCAAATATTTAAAGAATTAATCCTTATTTATAAATAGTTCACATGTGTTTCGCAGTACGATACTCGCTTGAAAGAGGTAGCTTCTTCAATCCTATATTATATGCTTAACATATGTATTAAATCAATCTTGTTTTCTATCCTTCGCTTTATTAGATTTACTCGAAGAACTTCATAGAAACATTACACAAAACCAACTAATAAATTATAGTATTCTGCGCGTTCAGCAAAGTGATATGATTTCTTGGCGGAAAGAAGAAATGGCAAGATTAATTCAACTTGAAAAATCTCAATCAATGATCTTAAACAGCGTTAACGTGATTGAGGTGATCAAGTTTTTTTATTCAAGAATATCAAATATTTTATGAACCTTAAATTAAATGCAGTATTTCATTGATAGAAAATTACATCATTAGCTTCGGTAAACATGGTATCACTTAAAGATAATTTGTCTGACTCACAGGAAATTGTGCAAGGTACATTGAGTCAGTTGTCTCAACTTAGAGAGGTAAGCCTAAATTAATAATACAAAAAAAGTTGAAAATTTGGTAAACGAATGTTAGTTAATATAAAATGATAATTTAGGAACTTGAGGTATATCGATCAAAGACTAGTGAAACTTTTGAAGAAATTAACAGTGCAACAGATCAACAGTTTATGTCCCTCAAACAAACAATGGTATAAGAATGTATGTTCTTTAGTATGTTTTTTTTTCTTATCTAAATCGGTAAAATATATGCATATAAAGGAATACGTAGAAAGCATCGCCAAAATAAATATAAAGATTTCGGAAGTAAGTTTAAAAAAAATTTTAAAGCATATCAAGAGATTGTACTGTATAAACGAACCTTTTATTTCTTATAGAATTTACAAAAAATTGACACTGCACTTCACAACATATTAATGGCTCAAGAAAAGGTTTATAATATTATAGAAGCACATAAGGTAAAATGAACCCTTAGCTACTTTTATGCATTTTATTACTTTGTTTGCCTAAAACTTATTCAATTCTTGTTAAACATCATACTGCGATTTTTATTAAACATCAGGACCAACATCAAGATTTAGCAAATCAATGGCAAAATTCTTTATTAGAAGCAAAACAAAATTTGCAAATGTTATTAAATATCTCTCAGTCTGAAATTCAATTACTTGCAAAGACTGCAAGCGATGCGCGTGAGAGTCAAGAAAGCATTATTAAGATTTTAAGGCCTTTGGGTGTTTTTGTTGAGTTTATTAATTGGATATATGGTAAGTTTAGTATAATCACTTTGAAAAGTTTTTCTAGCCTAACGTATTTTTTTCGTTATAATTTCAATAATTTTAGAGATCACTTTTATAAAAAGCAGTATAAAATATATAATACCATGGCTGGCTATTCCATTTATTCGATTTCTCGTATCATGGATGAGATTTGGTAGAATTATGTCAATTGTTGGTATGCCCATATTTCAAATTCCATGGATTTTATCAAGAATTAACATTTACTAATATCTTATAAAATTGATATTGTAAGTTACAGTTTTTAATTTCCTTTTGATACTCCTTTTCAACATGAACAACACCCAATTTCTTCAAAACACAAACGTTCATATCGGAGTTTTTGCAATGGTAATAACTTAATTATCAATCTAAAATATCAAAGATATATTAACTTTTATTTATTTGCCTTAATAGATGAATTTAGCGATTCTTATTATCACATTCATTCGAAATCGGTTGAACGTTGTACGGAGTTCAATGCCTCAATTTTCCGCTAATTTACCAATACCGGATTCAAGATCACCGAACCCAGACGCCAGGTTTTGTTTTTTTTCATTTATCCATTCTTTTCAACTAATTTTTTTATCACTCTACATTTAATTTCATTTTGAAAACATCAAAAAAGAGTGTCACTTCCGAGAACATCATCTTCAGATTTTTACCTTGCAGAGTCCGATTATGGAGGGCATAGTTTTAATAGCTTGAATGGAAGTTTTTGTAGTAGTGGTAGTAGTGTTATATATGAATTAAGTCAGGGTTCAAGTGGAAGATTTCCAAGCAAAAGGACGAGAAGATCAGGAAGAAATTATTTTCCTTAATTTTATGTTTTCTATTTTTAAAAATACATTAAAGAAGTTTTGAGATTTGATATTATCTGAACTCCGGCTCTATTTTTTATTGATTCCCATACTTGTCATATTTCTTAATTCACAGTACGTAATGTTTAAATGTTAATGTCATTTTGACATACGTACACGTATACGTAAGGCGGTTCTAAATATATTTGCCATATTAGGCTAATGAATGCTCTAGAAAAAAATAAGATTTAGCGCCTTTAGTTATACTAAATGTCAACCCTGGAATTAAGTGGAACCGAACTAAATCCGATTTTAGTTTATGTCCTATCACAGTATGAATAAATTTATAGCTGCGATTTTCTTTTATTTATGGGATTTCCACCTTCTTTTCGTAATAAACATACCTCTGAAAATTTGACAGCCAAGAAATTACTTTAGAATAAAAGAATTAACACTATGTCGGAGAAAAATTGGTAACCTTTTTTTTTTTTTTATATAAAAACATCAACTTTGATTAAAATTAAATAACAATAAGAGCTAAATGTAATTCCGAAAATTGAAAATCTGTCAGGCCACCATGCTATCCGGTTGTTTATCATAATATTCAAGAAGAAATTGTTGATTCGGATTCTCGTGATACCGTTGAAAAATCTTACAAGTTATTTCTCGGTATTTAAACCATAATTTTAAATATGTTAATTTGCTTTTTTTTCATTTCAACTAATTAACTAAAAATTATTATTTTTTTCTTTGAATATAGTTTATTTTCTCACTTTAATATTCAATTTTATAGCGATCTTAGTTACTGCATTCACTGGTCGTTATTCATTGTAAGTAATATCGCAGGCTAATTTTGATTTGCGTGTAATTTTATTTTTAACTCTTACGTTTATTTATTATCATAGTATCCAAATCGTTGGTCAACTTCTACTTGCTCTTATTTACGTTGCAATATGGCCATTTTTTGATTTCTTTGCTAGACATCTCACTTTGTATAGAGCTTACAAGTAATTAATCTTATCATCTATTGTTTTTTTTTACGAGATACAATACCTTGTCCTACCATATCAATATTAAAACAACCCATTTTCTTCGTTACTCATCACAGACATGATAATGTAAGCTATTTTAGATGGTTTTTCCTTATAACATTTATTGACATCATTTTTGGTGTATTCATCGGTATTGGTTGGGTTTTTGGAGGAGGAGGTGGATTAATTGAGATGATCAATAACTTCCAACTGATCAATCAAAAAGGACCTATTGTCATTGTCGCTGGTGTTTTTAACGCTGTCTGTGCTACGTTAGTGTTTGCGCAAGTTGTTTTACATATTATGTTATGGCGCAGGGTAATTTCCAGAACTATTTCATGTTGTTGAGATATTATGGTGTTAAATATTCACTTTTATTTTTATTTTATTTAATACAGGTACAGGCTTACTTCGAATCTAAAGGTTGGAAATTAATTCCTTCGAATTCATAACGATTGTTTTTCCTTAAACAAAAAGAAACTATATTTCTTGTAGTATATTTCGAAATTATTTGTTATTTTTCTATACCAATATGTTTATATACTATGTTTATTATCGAAAGACATTTAAATAAATACAAATATACAGAAATACTATCTGTTAAATAAACATCAATGAATAGGTTATCATCTTGTAATTAGTAACTTTGGTTGAAGGCGGAATAGGGATTTTGAGCTTTAGCATAATAAATTATAGTAAAAGCGCAGAGTAAAAAACGTAGTACGTGTCTTTACGATGTGAATAAGGATGTATAAAACATAACAGGAGAAAATTTTGTAATTGGTACGTTAATTTCTTCTTATAATTTGGTTTTCTGAATTAAGTCGATCGTTTAGTGATTAATTTGACTCGATATTCGAATATTTTTATAAAGTTTTTTTTATCTTCCGTAATAAGATAATGTTTTTTTTTTATGGGTGGGCTTTGATATAAGAAAAAGTAAAATTCAAAAGTCTAGAAGAATTTTTTATAGGCTGAAAAAATTCTTATTATTTCAAGAATGTTTATTATTAATTTTATTTTGAAAACTGAAAAGGACTAGTTTTCATACACCCACATTTAGTATTTGAACCCTTAATAAAAATAACAAATTTCAAAACTTTGAACCAAGTTATACAATCATTTGATCAAATTTGAAAAAAAAATTTTATTGAAATTCTATAGATTTATAGGATTCAAGTAAAAAAATTTTTATCAAATTTGATTAAGTAAATTATCTTTGCTTAAAGTTAGTGAAAAATCAAAACGTCTCTCAAAGGCTATGAATTCATAGAATTTAATAAAAAAAACAAATTTGATTAGATAGTTGTCAAGATATCTTAAATCTGGTAAAAAAACAAAATAACAAAATAAAAATTGCATCAAATTATCTAACAAAATTTAATTGATGATCCGTCAGTAAATTAGAGATTTTTTATATTAGAATTGAAATTTGCAGGTTATAAGGTTAGTAAAATAACACAAATGATAAAATAACATTAGTTTTAGATTACAAAGTTGTTAAAAGTTGATATTTTTCTTTATTTTGTAAGCATATGATTTTTTTTTTTAAGATGTCAAAGTAGAAACTTTATTAGATAATAGAAGTAATTACATTAAAGATTTCTAAACTACATTTATGTTACTTATTTAAGACACTCAATGTGACATTATATTTCTTTTTTTTTTTTTTTTGGTATTAAGGTGACCTCTTTGGTCTTTTGACTTTTATTAATCACTTATCAGTATTGT